CGGCGTACCACTCCATGGCCTTTTTACCGTAATGGCAAGATGCCAAATCCGGCCAAAACAGTACGGAACAACCGTGTTTCTTCAGGAAAGGCAGCAGACGTTTATTCAAACACTCTTTCACGTAAATTTCTTGGTTGACAGTCCCGGAAGCTATGAAAATGCTGCTTTTCAAGCCACAGGTACAGATGGCTTGCCAAACCAGATATTTCTTTGCGAACTTTGACAGTTTCATGTGCTTGAAAACATCTGCTACCTTTCCCCTTCCTTTTGCCGTATAAAACTCCTGTCCCGGAAGCTGCTTGTAGTCGGCTTTGACGTAGGTTTCGTCGTCCATTACCACGCAGTCAAACTTCGTCAGCATCGTCGTGTACAGCCTCCGGGATCGCGCTTTGGCCGTCGTATTTTGTTTATCATCGCGATTTGGAGTCACTACCTTCTTGTAAGTCGATAGTCCGGCTCGTTTTTTGGCTCGATGCACGGTTGTAGACGATACACCCAGCTTATTTGCGGCATCTCGGAGAGAGAGGTTAGGGTTTCGCTTGAAACTACCGGCAACTCTCTTTGTCGTCTCAGCGGCTTCCGGTTTTCGATTTCCCCCCGATCCAGACTTCCTGGCTGTCGACAAACGTTCCCCAATGATTTTGCCAACTTTGCGTGCGAGTAGCTCGGATTTTCGCGATGCGCGAGCAAAATTTTGATACGCTGCTCTTCTTGCTTGGACGGCATTTTGACAACTGAAGAGTGAATTCCAAAATCAAAATAGGAGCAACATTCTACACACACACACCTTCAAAATGAGGGGTGTTCAGGTTTTTTAAATGCAAAATTGAAAGAAATACGTCAAGTTGATATTGACCAAATTTTGACCGTATCACCCTTTAGTGTGTACATTAACCTTCTTAATATGTTATGTCTGGAAAGCTTGTCCATATAAGATGTTGTGCAATGTGAGGACACGAAACGGAATAGGGATGACGTGTAGAGAGACTGAAAATCGATTTCGAAAGCCATTTTAAAATCCAAGATGGCGGTTATCGATTCAATAAAAGCTGTCAAATACCCTACAATATAGGTATTTCCGGAAAGAAGACGACGTGTAGAGGCCGGAAATCGATGCCAAACGCCATTTTTAAATCCAAGATGGTGGCAATCAGTTCAATAAAATCTGTCATACACCCTACAATATGGCTATTTTCGGAAAGGGGATGACGTGTAGAGGCTGGAAATCGATGCCAGACGCCATTTTGAAATCCAATTACAAAATGGCGTCTGGCATCGATTTACAGCCTCTACACATCGTCCCCTTTCCAAAAATATCCATATTGTAGGGTATTTGACAGTTTTTCTGGAACCGATTGCCGCCATCTTTGATTTCACCTCTACACGTCGTTTCCTTTCCGGAAATACCCATATTGTAGCGTATGTTAGATTTTTTCTTGAACTCATGAACGCCATCTATAATGAACCGGGAAAACCGGAAAATAACAAAATTTGAAGACTTACCAAGATATTCCTTCATTTATTTATTTTTTCCTAAAATTCCAGGGTTGTCCTCAGGATTCTTTGAATTGTTTTGCAATTTTTTATAACCCTTACATTTCTTCCAAGTCTCAGTATCTTGACAATTTTGACTTCAGTTCATAATTACGTTTTACGTAGGACTACGTCTTTGATTTCTATATGGGGGTACAGTTTGTAAAAACCGAAAATGGAATATGTAACAAATTAAGAAAGATTTTGAATTTTAAAAACTCAGCTGCCCCTGGTCCAATTTCAATAATTTTATAACCAATGGATCAGAAATATGACTACGCATTGATAACAATGCTTTTGAATGTTGATTTTTTAACAAGAAACTATTGAAAAACTGGTAAATGTCCAGCATTGTCCTAAAACGTCGAATTAACTGACAAATCCACCAATTACCTACATGCATATGCTGCTTCCCCAGCACAGTCGTCAGAGAGTAGTAAGTAGACGCAACAAGTCGAAGTGGCATTCGCCTCCGATCCTCGGGCGCGTGCGAATAGGGAGGATGGAATTGCGTAATATTTTGCACACTCATCGCCATACTCAGAATCACACGCTCCCAACGACCACACCACTGTGTGGTGGTGTTCGGTCGTCGAAATTAGTAGCAGCAGTAGCAGTGCTTTCGGCGTGTGGCGTTGAAAATTGTTCTCCAGTAACAATGAAAGGCTGCCTGCAAGCAGCGAGCTGCAGAGCCCACATAAGCAATAAGTCCCTCCTTTTTTACATATTCTGCACAAACGATACTTTCCGCCCCGCCCCATTCATATAATTCGGAAGGAAATCCTGTGGGGGTGAATTGAATACATTTTAATACCGAAATGCACAAAACTTTCAAAATACACCTTTTAAAGACGGGTAGATGAATCGAAAATACTCAAGTTGACAGTCCCTTGGATTCTCTTCATCAACTTTCTCTTTGAAATAAATACTACAAATTTGATACGCTTACAAATTAAAAACGGAAAGAGTTAAGATAATTGATGATTGATCAATTAAAAGAACTAAATGTTCACATTTGTTCCGTCCAGTAGCGGTCCTACGTCAAGCTTCCGTTCGTGCCCCTAGGCACAGACCCTTCTACATTTTTTTTTAATTTGTCGTCTTGGAAAATTTTCAAAATCCCGCATATTAATTATTTTTTCTCTAATTCTAGAAGATTGCTTTTAATCACAATTGTTGTTCTCCTAGAATCTTGGGAATCTTGGCAAATCGATTTTTTTTTAATATTTGTTTGTACCTACAGATAACGGAGTGAAGACACATTTTCCTGATCCGTGATCTTCAACAATTTTCTTTCAATCTTACTATTTTGTCTTATGACCCATTCAGTCAGATAGCATTTGGCCTTGTGACATTAATCCATAACTTTTTCACTTAATAAATTCTGGGGCTTAGAAAACATTAGATGTACCTTGCTTCAAAAAGTTATACAAAATCAATGTTTCAAAGTACCTCGAAAGTTAATTATTTGTTTTGTATAAATTTAGTGGCTCAAAGATTTGAATTAAACATTCAGTTTTAAAATATACCTCCTGTAATTTTGCTTCTGAAGATAATTTTCCCACAAATTTCCAGTTTTTCACGTTTTAATAAAAAATGTTTTCAATTCAGTTTTTTGGGTAAATTTTAGAGATAAATACAAATGAAAAAGTCCCAAGCATCATCTCTTGGTTCTATGTGTAATTACAGCTGACCTTGCAATAGTGGAGTGGCAACCGCCGGCGGTCAATCATGCTCATGCTCATGCTTTCAAATATGAACCGATCTTCTCACAGCTATTTTTATTTCTATTAGAGTTATACAAAACCAGTTAAAATTCCAATAACCATTTACCAAACATAAAGGCCGGGCAACATCATCTTGAAAATCGATTTTTGCACTCCAGACACGAACTGCTTCATATGGGTTATCAGTCAAACAGTATCCGTTATGCTCTGTCCCACCTTTTATCCCCATGATGCGGAAGAAATCCCATAACTGACAGCCACCGGATCGAAGGAAGGTGATACTTTCCAGCCGAACAAAACTCTCCGGAATGTTGATGAAGGATAACAGGAAAGAGAGTAGCAAAATGAACTTTTCTAAATTGAATTTAAAGTTTTTAAATTACATGTCAGAAGGTTGACTTTGATTCCCCTTGCCTTTCATGTGTGCCACCATGAAAGTGTATACGTGCTCTTAGTAGAAAACCGAAACTGTGGGAAAACTACTGGTTGCACTGTGTCAAATAACTTCAAGTGACAGTACAAGTGAAAGTCGTTGGATGTTAGCGTCAGATAATTTCACTGCAGGATTCTTGAAATTGTGGCATGTGATCGCAAACTTCAGCATCGGTGCCCATCGGATTAATCCATAAATCTTTTCACTTTCTTTTGATAGTAATCTCAGTCCGATAACCTTCCAGCCGCCATATTAGCTAACCGTTCCATCTTTGTTGGCCCGGCTGACGACCATGACTAATCGATTACCCATATTGGTTAGCAATAAACTTCCAATCTTCAACCAGCTGATCCGTCATAATATCCGACGCTTCGTCGTCTAATGCCGCTGGAGGGTGATTTATGGAAGTCGTCAGCTCAATCAACCGCACCAATAGCCCTCGCTCTCAGTGTGCTCGTTTCGATGATTGATTTACATGATGGTCATGTTCTGTTCGATTTTGTGGAAATACTCTTCAGACGTGACCTTGGGAAATGAGATTGGATCGTTCGTCATAAAATGGCATTTAGTAAGTGTGTATAAAAGTGATTGATTTCTTCTGTTGATCATATGGAATCATGCAAGTGACCAACAAACGAACAATTCAACAATTTATTAGATCTACAAACATTGTTTCAAAGACCAACACCGTACTCGATGTTCGGCAGATTTTCTCTTTCCTGGCGAATAAATTAATTTGTCTCGCAGCAGTCACTATAGCTACCACCCTAACCACCACCGAGGAGCATATTGAATGGTCAAAATGCCAGAAACGCGTCCCGAACAACACGTGAACATGACTGAACGAACATAGTGCAGCCAACCCATTTTCTCGCACCATCAGCACCACACCACCGAACTTTTGATTTTATTCTTTGATTTATGAGTGTTTGCTTTTAATTAAATGGCTCCCGAGAGTGCCAGATTCTCACGTTCCCTGGCGCACAGTCTGGTGTGGTTCCATTTTTTCGGGAAGAGAATGTGGACGGGATGCAGAAGGTTGCAAGTTGCAAGTAGGAATTTCCCCACATATGAGCCCGTTCAGTCGTCGACACATTCCGTTAGCATTTCGCGATTTGAAGCAGGGAAAATTTCGGAAAGCATTTCGTATTCCCGGGGAATTATGACACATGAAATAATATTCCACCACGAGCGAAATTCTGTGAATGCATTTTTTTTTTATTTCTGTGGAATTGTTTTGCATTGAATTGTCAGTCATGAGAATTAAAGTTTGTAATAGTTCAATTCAATTTCTCTCCATTCCTCAGGCCACTAACCTACAACAAACGAGAGAGCTGCGCATCTTCGGCGACGACAACCACCCTGCTGGGGCCTCCGGTGGGGCCCCATGGTACCGCGATGCGAGGCTCCAACGGTGCCCTCCACATGCACGCGATGGCACCGAGGGCCATCAGTCCACTGATGCAGGTACGCAAGGCACACTAGACTGATGCAAAAGTTGAAATTTTCAACCGATTCCAAATCGGGTCTTATACCCCGTTCACATTACAGCGTATATCACGTGATATACGGTGTCTTGCAATGAGCACTCAAACATCTTGTTTTCACTGGAAATCCTATGTATGAGTGCTCATTTCAAGACAGCCTATATTACGTGATATAGACTGTAATGTGAACGGGGTATTAATTAGCCTCCGAAAATTTGAACTCATTTAGTAAGAAACTGACTTGGCACAAACCATTTGAAGTTTATATGGATCTTTATCCATATCTGGATTTCCATATAAACTCCAAATACCAAGTCAGTTTCCTACCAAATAAGTTGAAATTTTGGGAGGCTAATCAGGACCCGGTTTGATTATAGTCGCTATATTCATAGTCTGGCGGATAGAATATCAGGAACCAATTGAGCTGTCAAATAGCGGAACCAATCGAGCAAATCACGACCAACAATAGAAAAGAGCACAACAGCTATTGCGAACAAAACTTTGGTAACCGTTTTCTCGTGATTCAAGGCTCGCCTACGCAAACTAACACTATCTTTGGGTTTGTGGAAAGATTCCCCTATCTTGATGCCGGTGATTTGCGTTCGATTGTCGAGGAAACAATAATCAACGTTTGGGTTATAAAAGTTGATAGGACCTTTTCAATTGTTGGTCTAAAATATATTGAATTGGTTCCACTTTTTGATAGATCGAAATTCTATCCGCCAGACTATGAATATAGCGACTATAGGTTTGATAACCGTTTGAGCACTGTGCAGCGAAAATTTTCAATTTTGCATCAGCCTACTGCACACATCAAACCGGTAAACAGAACCGAATTGAAATTCTAGATAGAGCTGGAATTAGGGCGTAACAGCTTTTGTAAACAATGACTTCTCTCAATGATTTCTCTGAAGCAAATCGACATCACCATCGAATAGAGGAAGACTTCTCCTTCCCGATGGATATGTTGGTTTGTGTAGGCGTGTCTTGAATTCCGATAAATGGACGAGAGAAGTCATTGTTTACAAAGGCTGTTACGCCCTAATTCCAGCTCTATCTAGAATTCTGGTTTTCCTCCAATTCCAGGGCCTTAACGAAAACTCCGTCTAAGTGTGAAAAAACAACGTTTCCATCATAGCAAAATAATAAAAAAAAAACAACCCACATCAAAATCTGCACCCGTACAGTTGATTTCCCTATCGGATCTATGTCCTCCCGTAACGCCTCATTTTATGAGTTAACAAAAAGTGTGAAAATCCAGTTGGATCATCGTACAGAGCTGTGTGCAAAACTAGAATAATTATATTTTCGCAGATGTTGTAGGAAGTGCAAAACTGCTGATCTGACTGCTTCGAGTAAATCGAACTTTAGGAAAGGGACATGGGAATTGTTGAAGTTTTTGTTGGTTTAAACCAAATTTAAAATTTATTAAACTGTAATCTGATGTGAAAACGTTTAGACAAATTTATTAATTTTTGTGATGAGAACAAGGGAATTTTAAATAACAGTGTACTGCTAGGATCTAAATTGTCAAATTGACAGAGGTGTTTTTGCTAATGGATATTTAAATTCGAAAAGTCACATGTGTCTACCCATTATAGCATAATAATTCGATAAGCGATGGGCGTTCTTCGTAAACGTAAATTATCCGTACAAAACCAGTAATGCAAGCTAAGAAAGGTGTAAGGATGTTCACATTTTACAAAATTGGATAACCAATATGCCAACTAGACAAATATCACAAAACGTAAATACCGAAGCAAAATTGAAAGCAACTGGAACTCTTTATCTCTCTATCGATGTATGTGTCAGGCGGGTTTGTAAACTAACTGTAATGAAAACATACACACACTCTTTACAATTTTTTTTTTCGAGAATTAAAATACAATGTAAACCAAAAATGCAGCCAACTCATGTACATATTACATCATCCGAAAGCCTAATCTGCACTTACGGTCAATCTCCGAACGGTTGCAGGATGTTCACTGTACAGTACTTTAGAATTCATGGAGACGCGTGGTGTTCAATTTGCAATCTTCAAAAGCTTGCTCGCATGTATCCTCCTAACATCCGTGGGCAGGGGTTGAAACAGTTGACGTTTTTTACTACACTCGCTTCGTCGTCGTGCGCGAGAGTCTGTTTGTATTCGTACACTCATGCTCTACCGTCGTCTCTTTCACAAAACACAAACGGTAGAATAACATTCGAGCAAAAAGAAAATTATCAAATAACTATCATATGACAAGTGTGATTTCGTTCTAATTTCTCAATTTTGTGTAAATTAAACTATTTCTGATCAGAAATGTTATTACTAGGACATCATTGCTTGCTATTTTCAGAATTCACACAAGCACAACATCAGTAGCTCTTATTATGTGAATAACTAAAATAAACACATTCGTGACGGTCTTCGGCGGCAGTATCGTATGACAGAGCCTGTCATATGACATTTTAGTTTGGTACTGTACTATGATAGCTTGTTTTGCAAATGTCGGTGGCAAAGGCAGTCGATTATCATAGAAAATGTGTCGACTACCGTGACCGCTTACAAGACTGTCCGTGGGACGCAAATCCGAAAGTAGCTTGAACATCACAAAGGTTGTCCACATACCACGTGGACAGTTTTCGAGAGTAAATTGTTGTTTTAATCTGATGTCAGTTGAACACATCTTCAGCAGAGATCATCGAAAAAATTATTGTGAGTGCGATAAACCGAACTACTCCATATATTTGCTGACGTCATCAGACAGTATGATTGCACTCACACTTGACCATTCCGCTTGAAAGAATACCGTCATGATACGATGATGTTGATTCCTATCTGTCAAATGATTCCATAATTTATCGGATGAGGAAAACGACTGCATTCATAAGTGTGTTTCCAGTTGGTGAAATTAAAGAATATATCAAGCATAACTTTTAAAAAGGACGTAAGTCGCAAAAATAAACAAATCGAGTTTTTCCCTCTATCCGGTTGTAAATTTTATGCTTTACTCTTTAGTAATTGCGAAACAAAGTTTAAAAACTTAATCATCGAAGAAAAAATAAATTCAATTACCGCCCTATGTGTTCTTCTTTCAATGTTTTGAAAAAGGTTTAGATACACCCTATTGCCGTCAATATGACGCAACTGTCAAAAATTGAAAATAACACGCAAACCGCAGATACGCTAACAGTGAAACGTCTCGTGTGCAAATGAAAATCGAAAATTTGAAACAGCAGTTGCGTCGTGCTGCTTCCGAATAAATTCAAAATGGATTTTGATGCAATACAGCTGCTGCTAGGTATGTTTTTGTCAATATTCATAATAAAAACGTAGTTGAAAATATTTTTTTTAGACGCAGCCACTCAGCTTGACGATCCACAACCAGGGTCACAACAGTTTGCTGTTTCTTCGGCGTTTATGGCCCAATTTCCCAGCGTCGAGTACTACGAAGAAGTTGAAACCGTTTCGCTAAACTCGCCGGCAAATGAAATGCCCCCAGAACAGGATCTGAACATAAACAATGATGCTTCTCGTTGGTTGACTTTTCCTGCGGAGAAAATTTCCGTTAGCAGTTTAAATCTATTCAACATCATCCATTTCTTTGAACGCCAAACGCGCCCAACCCGTCGTGATAGTAATTCCTATGGTGACGATTTCGGTGCATTTTGCTTCCAATGAAACAGATAATATTTCAACCATGATAATTGTCATCATCATGACCATGGTGGTTCAGCATAATTTCCATAAGACTAACCTGAAAGGTATAATTCGAACCGGTGCGCACGCCAAGATGATCACCCCAAGTCTCGTTTTCGAACGAATCGAAACGTTCATACAAAAAAAATCTTTCGTCTCGCCGGTCGTTGTCTTCCTGGCTGCCGTCTCAAACAGCTTCGATTCCACGTACAGCAGCGCTCGCTGTTCCGCTTCCAGCAGCGGCAGGAAACCCGTTTCTGCTCTGCATGTTTGTTTCTGACAGGACTTTCTGAGGTGACAGGAAAATTGTCTTGTCCGGGACTTCTTTGTATAGGTCGAACAACTCACTACCTGATACTGGATCCCGTTATTTTAGTCCTCAGTTATACTCTTGTTCCAGATAACCTGCTCCTGACTAAGGATCTCCTTCTCCGTTCTTCAAAATGACGAATTTCTTTGTGAGAGTTAGCAGACCGACGTATTTCTGCTTCCAAATAAAAACTGGTGTATCTGACGCAAGTGTAAAACGATCTGTCAAATCGACGCATCTCACAAGGTGTATATAACAACCAAGGTACTATAACGACGAATCAATCAAGGTGTATGTGGGAAGTTCGGAACCAAAAGGGTGTATCTTTTAATTTTATCAAAATTGTTGCTAATGTATGCAAAACCCCAGCATTTTTCATAATAATCATAAACTACAATCCTGTATGTAACATTTGGCAGCAACAGATCGTGAAAAATAACGAAAACTTTTGAATAGAGTTTAATAATATAGTCTGAATATTGCTACCCCATTTTTCTCATTTGATGTCAAATGTTACATACGTCCTTTTGAAAAATTATGCTTGATATCTCAGTGGATACAATACAGTTTAGTGTTTTGCTACAGCTGAGACACAACAGTGGTAAGCCAAATAGGAATAAATACATTTCTTGTTATTAATTTCAATTGTCACAAATCAGCTTCAGATATGGCGGATATTTAAAAAAAAAACTTCCTTCTGACGCGGAAAGTGCAAGGGATCTTCAACCTGCGGACTGCTGCGTCGATAATGAATTTTGTGAAACGACGAGTACTGAATGAAGAAGTAGCACGCATGGCGGCCAAAGACGGATTCTCTGTGAATGGCATAATCAACAGTGAATTCCCGAGAAGTGATACTGGCAACAAGCAACACATCGGTTATGAAGCTGGTTCGTGATTTCTATTGTGAAGCCAAGACAAAAAACCATGCAGGAGATTCAAAAGTGAGTTGCTGATGGACAATCTGTTAGTCTTACTCTAGACGGATGCACCAGCATGAGCAATAAGCGGTACATCAACATTAACACATTTCACGGACGGTGTGATGACCAATCTTGGTTTGGTTTTGGTCGCTGGATCGCTTTCTGTCCGCAAAATTGTGGAAATCGTCAAAAAGGTTATGCGTGTTGCAATTTATCCCGTCTTTTAGAGGCGAACCAGCCTCAGGCTGAAAGCCTCCTAAATAAAGATAAATCAATCAATTTATCCCGTTTTGTGTAGTTTTGCCGCCGAGTGTAACTTAGCCGTGTTTCACACGAGCGTGTGCCATGTTTGTTATGCTTTGTTTTTGTTTTCATTGAACGGCCGGCGACATACTCATCACTATGCCTTCGTGAATAATTTTAATTTGTAAATTTTGCTCGTTATTTTATTCGTTTTTTGTAGTTGTAAGTTTAGTTAGATACGGAAAAAAATATCGTTTTAAACTGTATCGTGTCGCAAATAAAATTAGGCCCTTAAAGCTCCTCCCGCTGCAAAGAAGACGAAAAACAAAAGCAGGACAGTCGAGCGTGGTTGCAGGAGCGATGGCGGTTTTTTGTCTTTTATTTTATTTTTTATTTTTGTAATTGTGACGTTGTGAAAAAGGAGAACAATTCGAGCCACGGTGGAGTCTACGAGGGTTTTTTTTTTTTTGTTCGGAGACGCTTTTTCCGTTAGTCCCGAGAAAAAAGACTTTAACTGGGAAAAGTTTGCCCAGCCGCGACGCGAGTGCCAGTCCGCAGGTTTTGTTTGTGCACCTCGAGTGAAAGTTGTGAGTGCAACAGAGTGTCGGATCGCCATTGTGGGAAGCTAAATACTAAGGAGCTAATCGCTTCCCCGGCTAACCACAAAGGATCCGGTAGACACTCGCCGTCCTGACTGCGGTGGCTCAGCCAATAGAGCCAGTCTCGCCACCGCAGTTAATCGTCAAGCAGGACGAAGCAGGCAGTACTACAGGTGAGTTTGCCTGGGCAGAAACACTGCGATGTCTGCCGGGGTTGCCTACGGCGAGTAGGCAATCCGGTGATTCGTCACCAACGTCGCCGGGGGGGTTCCAACAGACCCCCCCCCCCGCCGCTAAGTGTTAAGGATCACTGCTAGACAGCCAAAGGTGAAGTAGGTGTAACCGCTCAGCACAATCCGTGCTTTGTAGCAGAACCGCCGCCATACCGTCGTCGAAGGGCCCCACCGAGCAGCAGCAGCAACAGCGAGGAGCAGAAGATACGTAGCGAGTAGTAGTAGTCTAAAATTGAATTTTCTTTTTGTTGTTTTATTTCACCCAAATCCGAACGACTTTCGGGGAAGTACCCTTGCTTAAGGCCGCCCCGCCGGAGTAAAATCGGGCCAGCTATAGGCTGGCAGGTAAGCCGCAACTTACAAAGGTTCTGGTGGATTTTTGATTCAAACCGAACGATGTGTTTGCGGCTACAACTGATGCTACCGCCGTCATGGTCAAGTTTAGAAGGATGTACAGATATTGGCATAACTTGTGTTACAATCACGGTCTCCATTTGGCAGTGTGCGATGTTTTGTATGAGACATGTTCAGTAGAGCCAGAGGATGAATCAGATGATGATGATGGAATGTTGAATTTATGTCGTATTTGTAGTAGTCAGTTATTGGAAACTTGCTCTGAGAGAACTTAAGAGAGGAAAGGGATTTTAGAAGAAGTTCAGCATGTAACGAACAGGCGAAACAAATCGTAGTCAGAAATGTTTAGACAAGCAACCGAACAACACCTATTTTTATTGCTACCCGATCTTATACCCCGTTCACATTTCAACCTATATCACGTGATATACGCTGTCTTGCAATGAGCAGTCATACATCCAGTTTTCAATGGAATGTGCTACATTTTGTTGAGTTTCGCGAGTTGTTAATTAATTTATTTGATAAGGCTCAACCGAATTAACTTTACAGAGCCGAGGATTCTTGGTCACTATACAATACATCTTAAAACTATAGTCAAAAGGTACAACCCAATAAACACTTTATCTTCCGCTATCCAAAAAGCCTCCTCCATCAGAACTGGAGCCGCTTCCAGTAGTTTCATTGTATGGCAAATTGTTGTACGCCAACGAGGGTCAGAGCGCGTCCATTGCAGCAATGGACGCAAAACGTGGTCAGCACTCACACACTCATCACGAAACGGTTGCTTTCCAAAGTCGACGACGCATCGACCGAAAGAACTGCTGATGAAGAACAATGAGGAGGACCACACAATGGTTGCTACCGAGAAAACAGACGATCGCGTGGCACACATCGAGAGTGGCCTGCTTTTGTCGACAGCCGAGTGAACACTCAAGTTTCGCGAGTGTTAGCGTGCATTTGCTGATATTTCGTAAATTTATTTTTCCTAGGAGCTCGGCGTAAGTAGTCCATTTTTTACTATTTGTGAAGTGCGTTTGTTAAAATTTTGCATTTGGTTGGCCATTGTTCTGAGGTCTATTGTTAGAAATTATCCATTTTCATCCATAACAATAACCGGGCTCATTCTTTGTGTTTAAGTAAAACGCTGAAAAGTGAATACGTTTGGTAAAATGTTATAGAGAATGACCATTAGAGTGATGCAAAATTTGAAAATTTCGCTCCACAATACTTAAACGATTCCAAATCGGATCCTGACTAACCTCTCAAAATTTGAACCCATTTGGTGAGAAACTGAGATGGCACAAACCATTTGAAGTTTGTATGGGAATTACTATGGTAAAAACAAGATTTTTGTTCATGTCCATCTAATAATTCACCATATCGGTCTGCTTCAAAAGCTTTCAATTGTAGGAAATTTTCCCAGCTACAACTTTGCTCAAGACCACTTTTTGATTAAATCCAAGGATCGAAAGTTATCAATGGTTCAATGCGCTGATGTCTTATGATCATGCTCAATCAACTGCTCAGCAGGCAACATTGGTGTTTCTGGGGCGTTGAATAGGACACAAAAATCATGGCTACTATGTCACACTGCAAAATACAGTGTTGCCTACAGAGCAGTGTCTTGATCATGTCATAAGTTTACCAATCTCTTAAATAATTAATAACTTTTTCCTGTCTCGTTTTACATAGAAATGATCTGCAGCAAAGTTGTAGCTGAGAAAATTTTCTATAAGAATGGCTATCGAACTGTTTCGCAGCTCAATATGGAAAAACACTAGAAGACAATGAACAAAAAGTTGAGATTTCCCATAGTAATTTACATGTAAACTTCAAATGGTTTGTGCGAAGTCTGTTTCTAACCAAATGAGTTGTAACTTTTGCAGGCTAATCAGGACCCGATTTGAAACCATTTAAGCACTGTGGAGCGAAGAAGTCAAATTTTGCATCAGTCTACTGCTCACGCTGTTGTACCATGGAGGTACCCAACAAAAAACTGCATGCTTAATCATACTTGTACTATTTTTAATAATAACTTCTGTTCAGGCAACTGGGTCACTTTCGTACCCAAGGACATGAACCCCACCAACGCACCGGAACTAAGGCCCATCGAAAAATACTGGGCTAACCTCAGTTGTGTGTAAAGGTCTTAAGCGAAGTTGCACGAACGTCTGGGCAGTTCTGCAAAATCAGGAAAACTGCGGGAATTTCAAGGAAGTTCTGAGTGCTTCAGGTAAATCGAAGACTACAAATCAAGAAGACTGGCAACTCTGCCAAAAATCAGGAGACAGCAACGGCAACGTCTCTTCTGAGCAAAAGTGGAACCCGTGTATGATGGTGTGTGTTAATTCACAAGTGAATTCACACACATAGGCAGAAATAAATAGCTGTCAATTATAGGTTTTGTTATGATTGTTGTAAAAAGTGGAACGTTTCTTTCATTGCTTTATGCTGATAACGAGTAAAATTCCAGCTGAAATTGAACAGATACGTACGTAAATTTGTTTTGAAAATTAAAACTATGGCAATGATGCCATTCACAATGGTGGTGGGACTTTCCTAGATCATTAATTTGATATCTCAGAATTATCTTCCACTTTCCCTAAGCCCTTTAGTGATGCATTTATGGGCATTCGTATGGTGCATTAGTAAAATGCATGCCCGTTCCGCACGGCTTTGACACCTAGCCACAGCGGGGGGAGTTAAGTTGTGACGCTTGGCAATTTGGCACAGTACTCGCTGGCCATTTGAATGTCACTGGCCAATCCGACACTTTTGTTATCATTCTCTGGAAGGAATCGGTCGATTCCAATAATCGTTAAAGCATACAGTCCTTCAACCTTTCATATTCATTTTCTCCAACATTAGAACCTGCTACGCCTTCCATTGGATTGTTATGTAGGTACCAGATAGTTCTTCTTTTTAAATCCTTGCATTTTTAGCAGCTTCCGAATGACGGTAGTTCACTCAATGATGATGGAAGCATCCAATTCCTTATAATTGATTGCTTTGAACAGGCAAAATAAACAATATTTCGGTTCCTCGTTCACAAGTAAAAGTTACTTTCACAAGGCATCGATCCGAATTTCAATCCTCTACCTGATCCACGATGACAAGTTTTTCGGTTTGTAGTTGGAAAACCACCGGCTTGCTGAGATTAGGATACAAATTGCCGTGATATTTTGTAGGGCAAAACAAAAACAACAACGAGTACCGTGTTATGATTATTCGTTTCGGTGACATTAGGGTCACTGTGCCCATTTGTTCAGGGCAAATGATATGACGTGATAAATACGTAAGTGCAAAAACTTGCTCCATGCAGAACAGTAACGGCTCTCTCCCCGAACTAACTATGGGAATCCAGAAGTCCAACACAATGCGATTCAAAAGCCTCTAAAGGTTTCATTTAATTCAATTTATTCAATTCCCAGCAGGGCCGTAAAACTGAAAACTACCTGGTAAAGCTCCATGAATCCCTACGCGTGAATCTACAGGTGGATGTAGAATCATAAACACAATCTCCTGGTTGCAGCCCGCCCAACTTTGTTGCCACAGTAGAAGTACTGAAGTAAAAATAAAATGTGATATTACGCCCCTCCTTCCTTCCTCTGTTCATCCCTTACCGGCCAGACAGGAGTGGTGAAATAGAAACTTGCTCATATGAGCGGGGAAAACCCTGTGGGTGTTTTCATTTCATCAGAGCTGTGCCTAGTTCTACTATTTTCTGTGACGGTCGTTGTTTAACTTTACTACAAAAACTTTATCCTTTACGCTTTGTCCTACTTCCTACTTGTGTGTGTGTGTGTGTGTGCGTGCTGCTTGTGATACATGTGTGTTCCCCAGTGATACAAGAAGCAATAACGATGTACCCCGCCATATGCTTTATAGGTCATAGAACGAACGAGCTGAATTAGCAGTAACTGACACTATGAGTCGGTTCAAACAAAGCATGTTACGAAAGCCAATCGATGCATAATGGGGAGGGGAGGCGCTAGCTCTAGTCAGAGTACACCATTTGCACAACGTGCGACCCCTTCCAATCCTGATACCGCCTCAAACTTTTCACCCAAACCAGCTCGCCGGTGAAAATCGCTGCCGCTAATCCAGCTCCCCAAATGATGACCAGAATGGCCGGTTCTGTGTCCACCAGGCTGACTGGGACGAACTTTCCACCGCCTCCGGTGCACTTTGGCTTTTTGGTGTACAGATTGGAGTTTTCCCGGTGCTGAATGCCGTGTTCGTTGATGCGAAATAGTCTGGAAATATTGTAATCGAATTAATTCAATTTCACACAGGAACAATTGTAAACGCAAACCCAATCTTAACATGCTCTTTGAAGGAAGAATTCTTCTGAATCGCATAGTATGGATCGATCACTTGCAGATATTGGATCTCCTGCAGACCGCACTTTTCGTCTTCCTGATAGGTTTCACTGATCACTTTATATCCGACGCCCTGTTCCACGTGGAACGCATACAATCCCTTCCTAATCCGATCGATCCCTTGCTCCAGAGGAATAAAGCTGGCCGACCCATCCAGCTGTTTGATCTTCCGTTCGTAGATCGCTTGTCTCGTGGGTTCCATCGCGTGGGTAAAGTAGTATCGATTGAACACCGTATCGTGTGCTCCAAACTTCAACCTCGAGGCCAGCAGATCGTCCAGGGTTCTTATCTTGGTCGAAGGACTTTGCAGCAAAGCTACAATGTTGGCCGAATAGCATACGTAGAGGAACATCAGGATGGTGAAGGTGATCATGGTGATCGTACGGGCGGATAAACTGCGCGGTAGAGTCGAAGAACCCTGCTGACACGTGGCACCGTAGATCATGAGCAGAGTGTCGCGGAAACTGGCCCGAAGGATTGAAGCATCGCTGGAATCGTCTGCGGCGAGAGGCACGTGCCATTCAGCATGAGCAGTGATGACCAGCAGAAAGGAGGCTAGCAGGACTACGGCGGCAGTGCAAACCCAGACGAACTGTAACGATCGAAAATGTTAAACTGAAAAAGGTTTGAGAATATGCAGCAGTTTCGTACATCATCAAATGGCAGCAGAAAAACATTCTCCGTGTACGAAAGCTTCGGCGAACGGAAGATGAACTTCGAGCGGGTTGCCGAAGTCATGGCCACGTACTCGATGACGGCGATTCGGTCGGTGGTGAAGAAAAGCGGTGACGCGCCCAGATCGGCTAACCCGTGGGACAGTTCACCGATCATGCCGTCCCACCGTTTGGTGGAAGTGTTGAAGTAACCCCAGGTCGACACGATCGAGTAGTTCACCTGGGCTCCCATGTAGTGCACCAGGCAGTTCGTTAGGATGTAGTTAACTTTCGATATGGTGTCGATGTGTTTGTCTCTGGAAGTCGACTGAGATATTCAAGATTTTGGTTTCAAATTCATTCAAACTACCCACCTATAATCGGTCAAGTGATGCATCGTGTCCGGATTGGTCACGACCAACGACGCCCGCAGATTGTGCCCGTTGAGATTCAATCTACGGATCGAGGTCACTTTCAGCGTCCGATCGTCCATCAAACTCCCATTGATCCAAGTTCCAAACGATTCAACCAACAAGGAAGAATCCACGGATTGTTTGAAAATCTGCTCTATTCGATAATGGCGATTCTTCTCCTTGATTATAACGAAAATTTCACTGCTGACTAGCAGAGGGAGCTCTCGTAATTTTTCCATAAAGAACTCGACTTGTTCTTGCCCATTTGGCTGATTTGCTTTGTAGAAGTTTGAATTCAAGATCAACCATCGATACTTAATGTACAGCAACTTCCCGGCAGCTGTCAGCAACTGGACGGTGTTCCGACAGCTCAAATCCACTACCAAGAAAGTCTGATGGTCGTTGATGTCTTCCACAAACTGACTAATGTGGTCATCACTGAACGAAGTCAAATACCGATCGTTTAGCGCGTTGAAAAGCTCAAACTTATCCACTCGGTCCCAACAACTCATTACGGTTACTTTTAGGGGATATTTGATTGTCCTCAAAACATCCAGCACGACAAAGGGAACATCCGCTTCCATTGCCAAGGCGAACGAGCAGCAAATAACGAGCAAAAACGAACAGATTTTTCCTGCCATAGCACTAAAAAGTCGTATACTAACGAGGTTGAGAAATTTTCTGTTTTATATCCCTCCGGGGATGTTAGAAAAACTGACCCTTCTCCCTCCACTTTATCCCCCCCCCACCAAATAGACCGAAGGGTAAAGGTAAATATAATTAAGAACCAAATTACTCCATTCAAGCGCCACCGCTTCCAAGGGGTCGGGTGCGGTTCTTTGAAATATTCAAACGAGCAATTCAATTAATATTTAAAATTCAACCTTGTCGGCCTCGGCGTCGTCGAACTTAATTTTCATCTTCCGACATTCGAATGGGAAAAAAGTTTGGACTCAGTCCGGAAACGTGCCAATCTCCATCAATGGTTCGATCCCGAAGCATCGTCGTCGTCGTGGTCATCAAGGTTTCGCATAAGAAGGGTGGAAAACAAAATCACATCCGATGACCAGCGGCTCAAGGTCAGTTTAAGTTTGCCGGAAAAGTGGATGGACTGGGTCGGTGCGGTGTGTTTCACGTGTGCTTGGCAAAACTGGAAACGAAACTGAATGCTTGAATGCATTGCTGCGTGAAACAGCGCTGGTAAAAGGATGGATAGTGGACTGTAGGAGCATTTCGCAAGAAGAATTGGTTTCTAGTTATCATCTAGTTATTATCAAAACATCTGTCTTTGTGCTATGACAAAAATGTTCTGCGCCCATGAGGTACAAACAATTTGATTTTATTTGGGCCACCTTATGCACATGCATTACTGTGTAGACAGCTACAAATTTTAATCATAGCATTGGAAGTTGATACAATATTGCTCCGCCTATATTGTATCAACTTCCAATGCTATGATTAAGTGATGAAACAATTGTAGATAAATTCCACCTTCAACTGAACAATGATTTGCTTCCATCAGATAACTACAAACAGTTTGATGTTATTTTTAATGTGATGTGATGTGATGTAAAGGATACCACTCATTGTTGCAAGGCACAGCCATTAGACAGTGGATCATCCTCCAAGTATGACTTGATCAAGTACGATACCTGGTTGTATTCAATTTTCCATTGTAAGAAGGGCCAAAAACGGAGGGGCGGACCCGTAAGCAGATACACTTACGCGCAATCCGTGGGATCAGGAGAATTGCCTTCCAATGATAAAATCCTACAACCCGATGTAGAACAAGCCATCATACGAGGGAACGTCCCAATGAGTGGGGAGAAGAGCCCGCCGTCAATTCACGAAATGTTAATGACAGGGAGTTGGCAATTCCACTCTCCCCATCCAAATCGCTTCAATCCGGTGCCCTGGTGGTCCCATCCCTCCCCTTTGCATTTAATGTGTGTATATATATATATTTATATCGGCATTACCCGTTAGATTTTGAGGATCTGAAATGATAATTTTACCCGTTAGATTTTGTCAACACAATTTTGACTTCTTAGCTTTTCAAAATCTTTAATAAATGCCAATCTTATCATCTGACCTATTCCGCGAGTCGTGCGAATCTCCACCACCAATGAGTCAACAAAAGTCACGCACTAGTGGGGTGACTCTCCGTGCAATCAAATAAAGAGTCACCTCACACGAGGCGACCACCGTCACCCTACTAGCGACAGAGAGTCATACTACTCGCAGAACAGGCCTGCAGGTGACGTTTAAAACTCCACAATTTTACTGAAAATCTAAGAAAATTATTAGACAGAATTTAATAATATAACTGCAGAGCACAACGAGGGGTGCGACACATCTAAATTTCGATTTTAAATGGTCGAAAAATCTCACACTAGCTAATCAATCTACGAAAAATCTTTTTTCATCTCTTGTATCTAAACCCATCTACTCGCATCGCTCTCCACCTTTTTGCAGGAAATCTTCAAAATCATAATCAATGGTGTTTCTATCTATTAAGCGCGAGTGCATCTCACTCGGAGCACAAGCAGTTTAAATATACTGAGGACGTGTTGCCAAAATCGAACGGATACTTTATATGTTTATTAATTTATCTTACCTTTGATGGACCAACTACTTACCTGTCCTTAATGGTCATAAGCTCCAATCGGTATTTCCCGGTAAATCCGATCACGATCCTTTACAACATTTGGCCGACCTAGTTGGAGGTTATCACCCTAAATCGACGTGATTTTTTTTTTTAACACCCACAATTTAAAACAATTAAAATCTTCGGTAACTGCAACTGTTTGCTATTCTTCTCATATCTCTTCTCATAACTAACTCGCTGCTCTCCCATCACATTCTTATTTTCTTCTTCCAATGTTTATACGTCTTTCCTTTATTGTCCTTATCTGATGACTCTCCATCGGAAATTTCACTCTCTTCATTATTGTATACTTCATTTAATGTTCTTTTCATTTTTTTCTCTATCCTTTGAAAGCTCCTCAAAACTTATTTTGTCCATGTTCTGGAATCTTTGGAAGTCTTGCCCTAACGATTTTTTCCAAGTTATACTAGGTCGACCTTCTTTCTTCTTTTCAAAATTTAAATTATATGCTAACTTCAAAGGGTGATTTTTATCCCTTCGCAAAACATGTCCAAAGTAACTAATACGCCCCACCCTAATTCTCCTATTAATAGTTTTACCGTCTAGTAGCTTTCTTGCATTAAACTTAATTTCTCTAGGTTTTACGCAGAACTGGTATATACTCCTCAAAATAAGTTTCTCATAGTTAGCTATTGTAATTCTACTTTTCTTTGTCAAAACTGCTACTTTGGTGCCGTATTGTAAGGGCGGTGATATCACTGTTTAATACATTAATTTACCTAATTCCCAGCTTGGTTTAAACTTCTTGCAAAATTCTACTATAATCTTAGATGATTTAACCGCTTTTAAACATCTCTGCCTGCTATTTGATTTTCTGTTCAATGTAGATGTTAAACAAACTCCTAAATATGTTATACTGTCACATACTTTAAATGTCTTGCCGTTTAAGATGATTTCGTTAGGAAGTTGCTCTTTATCATTAGGATATCTAATTAAAACCTGACTCTTTTTGCAGTTTATTTCTAGTCCTACGACCTCCAGCTGGATTTCTAATTCTTTAAGTATCTCTTCCATCTCTGCTTTAGACTTCGTTATAATTAGAATATCATCTGCAAAAACAAGTAGTAAAGGAAGTTTTAATTGATTAATATCCAACAATTTTAGTTCCGGTATTTTTGCAATAACTCTGTTTAAATTATCTTGCATTATATAATTGAACAGCAGAGGTGAAAGAGGGCAACCCTGTTTTATTCCTTTTCCTCTCAGTCCGCATCGTGCTCTCTTGCCGTGCGGATCTATTTGCTTTTTGCTTAAGGAAGTGTTACTACTACCTAAAGCTACAACAAATTTAAACAGCACTTTTCAGTGCTCAACCTGTAAAAATTTTCTACCTTGTTCAACTCCTCTTATTCCTCTTCGATCCTTGTTTGGACCCTACCCAAGGTAATCCTTCTTGGATATCGATTTGGAAAATTCCTCTTCGATCCTTCAGATTCTTATAGTAATCTGCTTTGAAGTCGATTTGGATAAAAAAAAATTACTGCCGCCATGGCGCCTAAACGCAAAAGAAAGGGGCAAACTCTTGACCCCCCTTCTGAAGAAATTAATTTGAGTAATCAATTTGATTTGCTCACGGATGATGAGAATGATCCATCATCCAAGAAAAATTCTAGTAAACTTTCCCGGCTTAATGCCAAGAAGGAAAAGATTCCCCCTATTGTGATAACCACTACCGATTTCCATGCTCTTCGCATGGAACTTTTGAATTTCGTGAAAGTTAAGTTTTCACTACAAATTGGACGTCGGGGTGAATGCCGTGTATTGGCTGAAACCTTGGACGGATTTAAATGTCTTCTCAAGTATCTTACTGAGAAGAAGCACAAATTTTTTACTTACGACACCAAAACTGAACGTGTGTTCAAGGTTGTCATGAAAGGACTGCCCAGTGGTGAATCCCTGGATCAGATCAAAGATGAACTGGCAAAATTACTTGGAGTTGTGCCACTCCAAGTAATCAAAATGAAAATGAAATCCCGTCCTGGCGATTCGCGCAACGGGATTTCTAATGATTTTTATTTAGTTCACTTCAAGTCTAGTGAACTAAACAACCTTAAGGCCTTAGAAAAAGCTAGCCTTATGCTCCATGTCCGAGTGAAGTGGGAACACTTCAGGAAGACTGGAGGAAATTTCCAAAGCCTCACCCAGTGCCGTAAGTGCCAGGGATGGGGTCACGGAACTAAAAATTGCTACATGCCAGCTAAATGCATGAATTGTGGTGATTCCTCTCACGCAAAGGACGACTGTCCTGTGAAGGAAGATCCTAAGAAATTTAAATGTTCAAATTGTGGTGAAAACCACAAATCCAATTTTTGGGAATGTAAGACTCGCAAAGCGATCCTACAATCTCGTTCTAACCGTCAGGTAGGAAACGCTCCACGTTTCCGACCAGGTACAAATTCCTCTGCTGTTAACAACGGTCAGCGAGGAACAAATTCTACATTCGTACCCGTAGGTACAAATATCTACACACACAAAATTATCGTTACTAAAATTAAAAATACCATGGGTAGAATTAAAAGTTTTCGTTGGTTCTTTTGGGTAGAAAGTCCAAAGCATTCATCATAAAAATGTGTAACCTGTCAAATCAAAAGTTTACGTCCTCGATAAATTTAAAAGTTGAAGCTTTTGAATCAAATTGTAGAACTGTCAAAAGGAAAATCAATGTTTTTAAAATAAAGTAGAAATTGTTTCAGTTCAAAAGGAGTCATTTTTATCATGACAATATATGTTTTTATCTCAAATTTGAAATATTTTCAGATTAATAGTTTTCAAAATTTAAATAAAATTGGGTACTCATATATACACGAAACGAAAAACAATTATTTTATCTATGTGTTTCACTTATACATTTTTGCCAAAACATCAGCCATATAGGTCCTATAAGAATGCATAAAAGGTATGTGTGACCGCTTATAC